GACAGGGGTCTCACTAAGTTGCTTAGGGCCTTGCTAAGTTGCTGAGACTGGCTTTGAATTTGTGATCCTCCTGCCTCCCAGGGAGCTGGGATTACAGGTGTTGTGCCACCACACCCAGCTTCTCTGATTAATATCTCCATGAAACCATGCTTTAGACCATGACTGTTTTTCTCATCTAGGTTTCCTTAGCATTAGGACCTGCTATGAAATGGGAATTGATTAATACTTGTAGAATAAAATATTTGTTGATTCCTGCTGAGTGAATGGGTTCTTATAGATACGTAGAAGCAGGTGGTTTTGCGGAACAACAGCTTCCAAGTAGCAGGACTTCCAGGGGTGAGGCCCAGAAAAATGACACCCCGATGAGCAGACAGAAGTCTTGGAGAACCAGAAGAGTGAGACCAGGCCTGAATTAAGGTCACAGTGGTAAAGGGAAGCAGAATGAGATAGGATCATGGGGCAGTGTATCTGTAGACAGATATGCACTTGGCTGAGCTGTTTAGCTGAAAATGGAGTGGAAAGTCCCAGATGACATTTTCTAATAGAGATGAATTTTGAGGATAACCATTTATAACCTGATCAAAGAGTTTCTAACACATGTGTGATGTGTATCCTGTATAAAATTAAAGAGTAAGATGTGGTGTGGTCTTGCAGATAATTCTCTTTTACGTAATCTTCAGATGTGTGACACTCCTGCTATCATTGTATGTTAAAACTTTAGAGAGAAATGTGAAAGTGATACTCTTGGGAAATTAATAAGGCAAGGAGAAAAAGCTCCAAGAGTTCCTTGTGCCAGGAGATCTTTATGTGTTACCTAACAGTACAAGCCACCTGGAACAGGGAAGTCAGAACACTTGATTTAGACCGCTCTGCCCACTTCTCATTCAAATCTTTGCATCTCAGAAAAATTGGGATTGTAACATACAATTTATTATGGGAATTAAGTGAAATAATAATACATTCAAGGTCTTAAGAATAGTTCCTGATATAATATAAACAATCAAAAAGTTAGCTGTCTTTGTCTTTTTAATATTTTGGCATGACTACCTCCTGGATTCTTTCTAAGAGCTGAGGCTACTGTTGTGAAGAAGACAGATAAGATCTGACCCTTATGGAGCTTCTATTCCAGTTAAGGTAGAAACAAATTAATAAGTAAACTAGTGAACAAGATAACCTCAGAGGGGGAACGATGCAAAGAAAGATGGTAGGTGGAATGTTCCTGGGGGCAGAAGCTCCTTTCTAAAGGGAAGTCAGGAAAGGCCTCTCTGAAGAGGTAACTGAGCTTCAGAAGAATCCATCAGGGGAATTCAGGGACAGCTGCACAGCAACGCAAATGCACTGAGGCAGAACTGAGTTGAAGTTGTAGGAACAGAAAAATGATGACTCTTTTTCTCACCTACCAAACCATATCCCTGTCACAAAAGACAGATTAATAAGAGAAAAGCATAACAAGTTTATTTAATTATACTTTCATGTGACACAGGAACCTTCAGAAATGGAGACTCAAAGACCCAGGGAAAACTATTTTCATGCTTTAATTCAATGAATAATGGACAGCCATGAAGAGAGATGCCTGGACAAAATAGGCATGGCCAATGTAGTAGACTAAAGGAGATCCAGCAGGGCATGTCTGTTCAGGGTCTTCTTGGCCTCTCTGTGTGGTGTTCCTGCCTCCCAGGTACTGGGCCAGACCTCTTCTGGAATAAGGTGTTATGATTTACTAGCACACAAGACTGGTCAGAGAATTTCTTCACAGACAGCTCCTGCATAGAAAGTGGTGGAAGTTTAGTTTCTAGGCTTTATGGCTGGCTTTGGGGTAAAGAGGTTCTAGTTCCTCTGATTCCATTTGGTGAAAATAAAATTCTTAGTTTCTCTACCCTGATTTGGTGAAGAAGAAGAAAGGGGAAACAGAAGAAAGAAATACAGAAGCAGTTTAGAAGGAGACCTTGCCTCTGAAGCCTGTCCAGTGTCCTTCAGTTCAAAGTACTCGGCATGCCAAGTGCCATACTTTGAAGTACTGCTTTCTGAGACCAAACAAAGTGTTAAAGGCCAAGAGGGTGGCTAGGGTGGTGACAGAGGAAGACGGTGGCACCAGAGGAGATAGAATGGAACAAGACGGAGGAAAACACCAGCACTGGCTTTGACTGACCAAAGAGCAAAGCAATGGTTGACCGGCAGTGAGAATCCTGAGGGGACGCACCTGCTGTGAGAGGCAGCAGCTCAGCAGAGTGTGGCCCTGCCATAAACAGGAGGCAGGACCCTGAGCAGAGGAAAGAAAGCAGTAAATGCTGAGGCCAAGCCCCAGGGGAACCATGGCCTCCAGAAGAAAGGACCTCTCCATTGGCATCTTGCTCCCCACCTGTGGCAAATAGCTCTAGTTGCCTCACCAACGTCCATTCCCTCTTCCTTTCTTGCAGCACAAGTTTGATTTTGTCCATGGCAACCATATGAATGAGCCCAAGGGAACCAGGGTTGGTCCAATGTGGGAAGATACTCCTGAGCTATTTAGCATCTTCACGAGGCCTGGAGCCAAGGAGATATTGGTTTGGCATTTCAAGTCACTTTGTGTCTCCTCCCACTTGATTACGCAATGCACATGACCTCAGGCTTGACTAGGAAGGCTGCTCTGGTAGCTCCAGAATTGGGCGTGACCCATTGGGCCTGGACAGCCCATCTCCTACCTTATTTGGCAGAAGAACATTCTACAGAAAATATTTGAAGTTTCCCTCATATATCATAAAGCAAATGCGGGCTCTCTCTGTCACTTCCCAGAGTGGAAGCTTGACCCCTGAGGTCAAAGAGCCAACCCACCCCCACTTTTCAAAATTACTGTCTGTGTAGTGTGGTTTTTTTCGCCGCTTTCTTTCCTTAGCTTTATTTCGCAGCCAGTCAGCATCACGCAGAGGAAACAAATTCCACTACCCGCACGGGATGTGGGTGAGAGTCCAACCCATCAAAACAAGGTGTACACTTGAAGCCCATAGGGGAAGCAGTGCATGGGACCCCAGCCCCAGGGAGGCAGACCTACACTTTCAGACCTGAGACATGACACTCTCCACACCATGCTCCACCTGGTCTCTGAGAGCTGATTCCATACCCTGGCTGTCTGATGAACACGACTGACTTTGCTACCCCACAGTCTTTGTTAGAACATCTTTGCTTTTCCGAGAAAATCCTGCCTGAGCTTCACAAAATGTCCATGAACTGGGCTGAGGCTGTAGCTCAGTGGCAGAGTGCTTGCCTAGCATGTGTGAGGTACCACATAAAAAAATAAATTAATAAACAAAAATATTGTGTGTCCCTCTACAACTAAAAACAATTAAAATAACAAAACAAAACACGAGCTTCGCAATGGGAAGCATTACAGACTGTGTTCCCCTTAGGATTCTTGTGTCTCTCCTATCAGAATCCTCACCTTCCTCTTCCCACCAATCTTACCTTTAACCAAATTGGCCATTCTCAGTAAATTCTGACTTACTTGCCCCTCCATCCCTGGACCAGAGATACAGCATATGTTCTGACTCCAGCAAGAGCTGTTTATCCTCCCTTACAGACTAAGTCATATTCTCTACTTGAGGTAGCAAAAGATTCCCATGGTAATGTTTAGGGATCCAGCCTTTGACAGTTGTGGCTATGAACAGAAACTTGACCTAATGCTAATTGTAAGTAAACACATCTTTAAAGATATCAATGGCAATAAAAGAGATGTGAAAGGAGAACAAGATAAATGTCCATCAACTTCAGATATTCCTCTGAAACGTGTTCAGATTCCTTTTAGTAGAAAATTGGATTCTAAACCTAGTGCAGTTTGCAGAGGTTCTCAGAGGTGCGAGGGAGAAAAGTAAATTTCCCTCACTCATCCCTGTTTCATGGCTGAGGCCTCTAGAACAACAGACAGATAAACAAAAGAAAAGCATGCACATCTATTTAAGTTTTACATGATACAGGATTCTTCATAAGGAAGATCCAAGAAACAGTTTAACCTGTGTAGTATTTCTAGTGCTAGGTTTGATAAGAGTGGGTCAGGCTGGGGCTGTAGCTCATCGGTAGAGCCCTTGCCTAGCATGCGTGATGCCCTGGGTTGGATCCTCAGCGCCACATAAAAATAAACAAATAAAATAAAGGTATTCTGACCCTCTACAACCACAAAAAAATAAAAATAAAAAAAAGAGTGGAGCCATGGAAAACTTTGATAGGACAGAAAGTGCATGATCTAATGGTAATGAACTAGGAGAAACATACCAAGACCTATTTGTTCAGATTCTTCTGTGTCCCTGTGTCTTCAGGGAAATAATGTTCCTTTCCTCCAGGTACAGTGTGGGCACCTCTCAGGAGAGTCAATGACTGTTTCAGGGACCATCAGAAAATAGGTTTTATGACCTACTTCAAAAAGGGAGGACGGCAGACCTTTCTGCTTCTATGATTTTCTCAAATTCCCACAGCTTAAAATATTCAATATGGCAAAGCCCTACATTTTAGGGTCACATGTTCTGAACTTCAACAAAGACCAGATGCCACAAGTCCTTTTTAGAAAATATTTTTCTTAAAATCATCAATAACTTAGGCTCATATCTTTCCTAAATCTGGACAAATAACAACTGGTAACAACTGAAAGACACCACAAAATCAATGGATATTTATTATTTTCTATACTATTAGGATGTGTAAGCACATGAGCAGCCTGATATGTTTTAGTTAGTTCTACATAAGAGTTCTGGATGGTGGTTTATTACTATTACTTGTATACAACTATTCTTTGGTTGATAATAACAAATTCATTCAATTGGTTGATTTTAATAGACTGAATTCCATAGTCAGCAGACTTTGCAGGTTTTTACGTATCTTTGCAAAATGTCACCTAATGTCATGTGAAAACATAGTCAGAGGGAAATCTGGAAGGCGCATTTACAATTAACAACAGACTTACTGTCAGAGAGTGGTTTAAGTGCAACAACTCATGTGGGAAACCTGGGGGTGGGAGAAGGCACAGGATACTGGGGGCCACAGGTGCTGCCTTGAGTTTTCTGCGAATCAGCTGCCAGAACCCAGATACAGACCCAGGGAGAAACACTTTATGTGGATTGTCTTATAAGAGAACCCTATGAATGAGGTATTATTTAATGTGCATCTTACTGGAGGAAAAAAAAAATTAGGCACAGAGAAATTAAATAATACATTGAACATCAGTATGTGCTGGAACCAGCATTCAAGTTGAGGACATCTGCCATGCTTCTACATAGCAACACCTGCTAGTGGTAGTGACCTGGCAGAGAAGAACAAGAGAAAGCCAAATAGATAAGGTCTATGCAGCTTGTGGGATGGGGGCAGGTAGACTGGAATGCTCATATTTACATTGCACCAAACTCTCAGGCCACACTGGCAGAGCAGAGGCAAGGTCTTCCTTGCTTCCAGATGTGAGACGGGGGCCAGACCCAGAAGCTGTCCCTCCCATTCCAGCACTCCCATACTGACCTCTCACTGCCAAGAAGGTCATGTTCATCATGAAGGCTTCTCATACAAGCAGGATGTCAGTTTTGGAGGAATGCCTGTTGCAGACAGCTTCCCTGGCTGAACACACCTGGAAAAGGTGACAGCAAGACAGCCCGGATCCTAGATGAGCTGCAGGCAGTGGTGGCGAGACAATGGCTGTGGGTTCCACTAGGTTGTATGGAGCAGTGAGCAGTGAAGTCCAAGGAGACTGAAGGACTGAGGACATGGGGTGTGGTAGAAGACAAGTGACTATGGGGCAATGTCAGTCAGAAATGGGCAGCCTGCTGAGGGGAACTATGAGAAAAAGGCAAACTGGCAAAGAGAGCAGGGAACTAACTGGGAAGGGTTAGAAGGAAAATGCAGTTATCATCAAGGATGACAAGGGCGAGTCCTCCACCTGTTAGTGGGGAACCTTGGAGCCTCTATTGCAATTGTGGCTGGTTGCCTCTGCTCCCATGATCCCTAACCTTATCTCTGCTAGCAGGTTAAGTCACATGATGGTCTACTGTGGTGGTTTTACTCACCCCTGAAGTTCCAGAACAGCACAGTGCCTGGGATACAAACTCGATTTTTGAGTGAAAAGGAAGGAAGAGAGGGAAGAAGGGAAGGAGAAAGCGAGGGAGGGAGGGAAGAAGGGAGGGAAGGAGGGAGGGAGAAACTCAAATGAGAAACAACCTGGAGCATGCACAGTAAAGCCCTTGACGCTCTGGTAGTCCACACCCCAACTCAGGGACCCCTGGGTCAGGCTATCTGGCACAAGGGGTCTCCACAGTTTCTGCAGTCTTTACAGCTGTTCTGAAGTTTCCTTCTGGTCTCTGTCAGTTTCCAGAACAAAGCCCAACAGGTTTGCTAATTTAACACACACCTGTAAGCTCGTAACTACTCAGTGACCCCAGTGCCACAGGAGGAGCTTGATGTGGCCTCTCTTTTCAAACAAAGCTGCCCTTTTCCTGCATTTTGGAACACTCCTGGTACTATGGTCAAGGGGAAGAGGTTTGTGCATCAGTCAGGATAGGCTAGTTTGGGTTACAATAAAATCCCATAACCTCAGTGACTAAAAAGCAAGGTATATTTTTCACTTATGCTACCTGTCCATCATACTTTGGCTGAGGAACCAATTCTACATTGTCCTTCTGGAATCCAAAGAGAAACATTGTGTTTGTGTGGTAGAAGGAAAGGAAACTGCAGAGTCTCATACTGCATTTAAATACTCTAGTCTGGAAGTCACATGCATCATTTCCATGCAGGCAATGGTTAAAATTGCCACTTGATCCCACACAGCCCAAGGGGTTCAGGAGTACAGTCCTACCATGATTAGGGAAGGCCCAGAGCTGGAACTAATAACCCACTCTAGTATGGAGCCTTAGAGTTGTGACCCAATTAATCCTGAATCCTTCCTCTTTATGCACTGAATGCCCTCCATCGAAGAAATGGCCAGTGGCTAGCCTAGAGGACTGGCCATGCTTTCTAATCAAGTGGAGCTCAGGAATCCTTGTTGTACACTTTCTTTTCACCCTTCCCTTTCAATCTCAGTTCTCCTGCCAGAAACAGCCTTCACGAGGTTGGTGACAGTGTTGAGGCAGTCCTGCTATCCTCCTGAGATCCCAGCCAAAGATCCTCTTCCCCACAATGGACCATGAGAACAATACTGAACTAAAGAACTATAATAATGCAGCTGATTTAAGAGTTTTTTTTTTTAAAGAGAGAGAGGGAGAGAGGGAGAGAGAGAGAGGGAAGGAGATAGGGAGGGAGAAAGAGAGAGAGAGAGAGAGATAGGTTAACTTCATTTTAGGAATTCAGCAACATTATTCATAAGTAAACCATTCATATGTCAAAATTGACCTTTCTGTTATTTGATGTGATGGGTTTAAGGGGAAGCAAGGTGGGCAGGGGAATGAGGGGGCGCATAGAAAAGAAAGCCAGTGTTGAGGAGAGAAACACAGTATTGGGGCAGAGGAAGTCTGCATAGAGCAGACACATCCAGCTGAGGAGAGCAAGGAATATGGAGGCAAAGGGCATCTGAGGCAAGACCACATAAACTGCTGTTGTCACGTCCTTTTAAAAGTAATCCCAGCTCTTTGAACAGCTCGTTTACTATTTAACAACTGTCCTGTTTTCCAAAAGTGGACCAGCGGGTATAGGATTGTCTGGCAGCAGGCTCCAGCATCACGCGGAGGGCCAGCATAGCCCTCGCTGGGCCCCACCTGGAAAGGCCTGTGATACAAGGAAGTGTCAGGGGACTGAGGCCTCAAAGAGGAAAGGAAAGAGAGGCGGGTCTCTAGATGACAGAGGTCACATGGGGAGCTGACCACTTCCCACATTCATCCTCTCCTAGGCGAAACGGTGGGAGTGGGCTGAGGAAAAGTGAGAACTAGATTCCTTAAAAATAAAGGATAAAATGCTACTTAATTTTAGGTCTAGACTTCAAAGGAGTTGAACCAGGTGACTTCCACATTTTTTTAAAAAAAAATTATTGTTGTTTTGGATTCTGTGTCTATTCCTTCAGAAGCTGTGGTCTCATCCCTCACAGGTCTGGGACCTTCCGGAACTGCAGAACCAACGTGGGTCACTGAGTGGACCAAGCAGGGATCTCAAAATATCTTGAGATACAGACACCTCCTCTTCCCTTCTCTTCACGGCCCACACAAAACCAGGCCTTCCACTGCTGTGCACCTGACCCAGGTCTGCTGAGCCCTCACTAAGGAGGCCTTTCCTGTCTCACTTGGCTGTGCTCTGGGCCCAGTGACAGCCATCAGAACTAACTGGGCTCCATCAAGTCCAGGCTGCCCTGGGGAGCCGTTGGAGAATGGGTCATTTTTTTGCTCAGAGACCTTCCCAGCAGCTTTGCCTCTGAGCAACAGGGACTGGGGCAGCTTTGGAAACACCAAAGGGAGCTCAGGAAAAATGCAAAGCTCCAGAGACTGGGGGACAGCCAGTACGTCCTTAGCAGGAAGAGGCCACAGCACAGGGCAGCCCGCAGGGTCATGGTGTGGTAAAAAGTCTTCCCACAGCTGTGGCAATCTTGATAAGGTGGTGAACATGGCGTGCAGTGGCATCCTGAGGGCTGCCTGGCCTCCCACACACTGTGGGTGGGCAGGCAAGCCACATGCTGTCATCACCCAAGCAGGCAGGCACTGAGCACACTTAATTACTGGGGAAGCAGAATCCAATCACACTTTCGATGCCAGCTCCTGACTTCATTGATGTTGTGACTCTCCACCCGCTTTCATAACTCAGCTGAATGAATCTGAAAGATGTCCAGAGCTAGGTTTTCACCAGCAGGTCTCCAGAAATGGATCCAGAGAGGAGGAATTTCATTCAGTCCTCCTTTCACTGGCTGGATAATTTTGTAGGGAGTTCCTCCTATAGGAGGCACTGTGCTTGGTGGGCAGAGGTCCTCACACTTATTTTGTAAGATGTGACAATGGGATTTGGAGCCACTGCTCTACAGGGGCAGCACACACCATGTTTCCCATGAGGCTGTAATATTTAGACATCACAAAGGGGCACAGGAAGGTGATTAGAGCCAGAAGAGATTACTTGGCTCCTGAGGGGTAAAGGGGTTGGTATTGGGTTCACAGGTGGGAAACTGCCTTAGAACTGGGCTCTTGTTTTATTTCTACTAATGAAGTGTAAAGTGGTGACTGCAATATGGGCTGGACAGTCTCTTCTCTTCAAATGCCCTGGAAGGAAATCTTCTCTCCCGTGGTCACTTCTCTTTCTTCTTTTAGGTTGAGAGCTTGTAAGGAGTTTGTATAATGAAATTCAGGAAGGTGAATGATGGAGAGTTTTTTTCTCTGTCACTGGGAACCTCAAGTCAAGTCTTTAAGAGCCCTTTGAAGATAGAAATTCAGATTCAAGTTAGTGTTTCTCGCAACAACTAATACAGGAGAGTCTGGAAAACAGGCTGGAATAGATATTCCCAAACTTTTGGCCTTCCTTGACACAAAAGTCCACCTCTTCTTTGGCAGAGGAGAGTTTGCAGATCCTAAAACCCCAGAGCTAGAAGGCTTTTCCAAGTGGCTCCTAAGGGTTTCTAAGTGGGGCCAAAAGGGCTGCTGGGAAAGGGCACTCTGACCTTGCTCCTGCCTCACTCAACTATGTAATTTTCTTTCTGTCTGCTACTTTTCCTTTGTCAAATCATCTCATTTGAAGAAAGAGTTCCTATACTAAAAGGGAGCTGGGAGCAAAGAAGAGAAAGAAGAAAGAAAGAAAACCAAACCACACAATCAATAGAGGAGGAGACCAAGGTCCAGGAAGGCCCTAGACTTGCCAGGCTCACACGGCTCCACAGAGCTAGCACTAGAGAGCAGGTGAACTTCTTGCAGAAGACTTCCCATTGTATACCAATAGCTTCTATTTTATCAAAGAACTAAGGCTTTTGATTTCCCTCAGACATTTTTGGGAGGTATTTAATGTACTGATTTTTCTTTACCTTTTATTTAGCAGTTTTCAGAATGAACTTCTATTAGACCTCCATGTTTTCCTTTTATTTAATAGAGGGGGTCTTGAAGGAGAAACCCCTAGCTAAATGTTTTGTTTTTGTTTTATCTTGCAGAAGATAAAGACAATCTAGTCATGTCAAGCTTAGGTGCTATGATGAGCCCCATTCGTCACACCCAATTGTCTCCCTGTGGCAGTAGGTAGAAGCAGGCAGCATGGGGGAGACAGCTGTGGCTCACACTGATACCTCCCCCCACTCATATATAAGAAGAAGATAACCTTGGGTGGGAAGGGGAGGCAAATGCTTGGGCTAAACCAACAGATTGAATGACAATGTCTCATTCAAGCAAATTGATTCCTTTTCATTACTACCTTAGTAGTCACCTTTTTTCATGATTGCCCACCTTTTTCTTCCTGTCAGCATAAAAAAAATACCATCCTGAGGTCCAATGTGCATGACACCCCTTGAATGCATGCTGTCAGGAGGTTTCGATGCTGTCAACCTGCCCTCTCATTCCCCCCATTTCCTCCTGCATGGTACTTACGTTCCGGTGCCTGGCAACCCTCTGCAAGAGGCAACAGCACACACAGGGCAGACAAGAGGTGATAGCCCAGGGGAAGCCCCGCCAAAAGGGCAGATCTGCCAAGGACCGTTATCAGATGAGGTTGAAAGCTGTGAGGTGACTCAGACACTGTGAAAAGGCATTATTCATCTAGAAACATACTTCCCTTCAGCAGAAAACGTGCCCTTGAAAGGCTGCGTCTAAACAAAGTTCAGCAAGACAGGTCCTGTGTTAAATGAGTTGGAGCATCTTGCCATTCAAATTATTTCTATAAAGCATCCTTTTTCTATCAATACTTCATCCATTTATTCAATAAACATGGGGCTCTAAGAAAGCAGTGGTTCCTGTTTTGGAAATATGGAGGAAATAAGATGTTTTTCTGGCCTTCAGACATTATGCAACCACTACAAGAGAAGAATCTTTTACAGTTGATTTAAATAATAATTTCTTGCATTATATTAGTGAGTAACAATTAGATTCTTGGGTTGACTCCTCCCTCCCCTCCCCACCCCGGCCCTTCTTTCCACATCAGCTTGTTCTTCCAGGTCAGGATCTTGCACCTTTTTCTTTCAAAGTTTTAATTTTAATTTTGTTTTGATCTAACTCTTCTGTTGCACCTATTTGAAGCACAGGATTATCTGTTGAGCTTGGATCCCAAACACATCTGGGAAAATTACTCTTTGAAGAGAGAGCAGGAGATAAGAGCACCTAATTTGTGGAAAAAAGATCACTAGAGATGTCTCATTAGCAAATATGTCTCTGCCTGTTTAGGTCAGGTATTTAAAAGAGTGAAGAGAGAGCAATTAGCCAAAGGAAAGGGCAGAGATCAAGCACTGAGCTTGCTCTAACTGCTGCCATTGTTTACATCTGATCAGCGAGCAGCAGAAACCAACCCAGAGCTTGGTGTGATACCACTCTCGAAAACACCAACCAGCCACTTGGTATAAGGTGATTATATCCGTTCCCTTTCACTGAAGGGTGAGAACAGGGGCAGCAACTCATCCTTACAGTGTCCAGAATATGTCTTGCCCGCTGATGTGATGGAACTCTCTCGAGGTCCGCCATTGGAGAACTCCCAGAGCATCTGACTTTTTGACATCACACACATTACTTCAGACCTAGGGATACACTTTATGGCAAAGGAAGTAGAATAATGGCCTATGACCACAGGAACCGATATACTTTTCATACTGGCTCAATCTGAAGGCTACTGACTTGATATAACCAGAAGGGCTAACAGCTCCACCTAAGGTATCAGATTAGAAACAAATTAATCTTTCGAGATGCACAACATACTTTCAGTACTTTGAATCCATGGGAGGAGTGGTCTCTCTTGTCATTACTCCCAGTGACTCACTTATGGTTGATTGCTTGTGGTTGCTCCTTTTCCTTAAGCTGTAGGCACAGCCACTAGGGGCAATCAGAACCTAACACAAACACAATACCTAGAAGCTCAGACCCTCAGAGGTGAATTTCAGGGTTATCCCACAGGGCAAGCAACCTCGACCAGCAAGACTGCCTTCTGAGAAAATGAATATCAATCATGGCCTCCGGATAGCAACAGAGAGTGTAGTTTGTCCCCCACCCCAGCCCTTCTGTTGTAAATTTGCTTTTAAAGGAACTGAGAGGAAAACCAGGTAAGTATGGGCTGAGCCACAACCACCTTGAAGAACCCACGACAGGACAGAGTGAGTCTGATATGGAGCATAAGTGGCCATGAACAATGTAAAGGGCAGGCTTCCACACAGCTGGCAGGGCCCAATCTGTATGCAGTCAGTGCTCACCATTCCTTTAACTGTAACATTTGCTGCTGAAAGCTTTCTGTGGACTTAGGGGCATGTCTGGCCTGAGCATAGGCAGCCCAGAGGTGCTGGGGAACTGTTGTACCTGGGAACAGGCCTCAAGAAAGTATAGTAAGTGTTATCATTGGAGAAGGAATTTGGAGAACATTAACCGGGAAACTTAAATTTGTCTGGTGCTCAGAAAAGGCCTCTTTGAGACCTGAAGGATGAGTAGGAGTCAGTCCGACCCAGGAGTGGCAGAGGAAGGCTGACAGGCATGTAGGTAAGATGGCAGTTGTGGTACATACAAGGAAATGGCTGGAGCATGGAGTGGTGACAGGGACAGGCAGGCATCAGACCATAAAAGGCCTTGGGATCCTTGTTTTGGAATCTCAATTATTTCCTAAGAGCAGTAGAAATCCACTGAAGTGTTTTCATTAGAAGATGCCATGACCCAACTTATGTTGGGAAATTACTCTGGCTCTATTAAGGAGAATGGATTTGAGGGAATAGGAGTGGAGACAAGGAGACTAGGCTGTCCCCTTGACCTGTGGAGATATGTGTCTGGTGTGCAGGGGATATCATGTGACCAAAAACCCAGCGACTAAAGCTCATTGTGGAGGGAATGAGATATTCCAAAGGGAAGGAGAAAAAAATAGGCCTGAGCCCTGATTGATAGACAAAAACATTAAAGCAAAAGATGAAGATTACAAAGAAGGCCAAGAAAGAAAGGCTATAAAAAGAGGAGACCATAGATAAGAGAGTATTTGGAGAAGCCCAGAACAGTCAGCAGTGTCCAGTGATCTCAACAGGATGAGCAAGAGAAGTCTCTTCTTTGCTCTTGGCAGAATAAAATAACAACACTTTCTGGGAAAACAATTGGTCATGCACATCAAGGATCATAATTTATTTAGAAGAAATAATTTAAGTGGAAAAAAATTATAACTGTGATCATGTTACTTATAATGGTTAAAAAAAAACTAGTTGGTAAAAACTTTAATTCCCCTTATAGAGAATTGAATAAGTAAACTAAAAGAAATAAACTTAATGAAATATTTTTAACTACTAAAATTACAATGATATCTACCATGAAATAACATTTGAAAGCATGTAAAATAACATCAAGTAAAAAAAGCAAAATGTGAGCTTTTACATAAAATGCAAATATTCATATGAATAAAGATTAAAAGAATTATGGAAAAGGTAGATATTTTATAGGTTAGAGCAGTGGGATAGTGAATTTTTAACATTATTCCTAGTATTTGCTATTATACTATTTACAGATAATAAATTACAATCAGTAGAAAAGAACTTACTGTGTAATAACTTCACAATTGGTTAAAAAAAAAACTAGTATAATACCAAACAATTTGCTGTCTGAGCAAGCATGAGAAAACAAAATATAATCCTGGCCATCTGTATCAGGGTTTTGTGGAAGTTTTCCTTGCTTTCTGGATCAAAGAGGATCAGACAATTTACTTAATGATTATCCAAAGAGAATGCATCTAGATAGTCCTTAGAGTGAAAGCTGGAAGCTATGAAAGGAAAAGGAAAATGCAGCATGATTTTCACTAGAGATATGGGCTTCTACACACTCTCCCACCTCCAAGGAAAAGAGAATGAGAATTAATATTTTCTGAGCATCAACATGTGCATATAATGATGTCAGCTACTCCCATGCAACAGTTCATACCAACCCAGGCAGCACAAGTTCCCCTCTCCATCATCTCCTGTCAACAAGCCCCAAATTCTAGTTGGTTCTCACTCATTCTCCTCTTTTCCTGGGATATTAAGAGAACCTCACTGACCACCTGCATAACCGGAGCAAGTCTGTCCCAACCTCTCTGGAAGCTGTGGCTATTTTCATCAACTTACCTAAATTTCCATGGCAGGATCACATTGCCCATCTCTTCCTTTTATATTTAAACACTTCCTCTTGCCTAGGTCTGCCATCATAGTTCTGAAACCTATTCACATTAAATGAGTCTACAGCTGACTCTCTCTTATTCTAGTATTTAATCTTCTTTTCATCTCACCCATGTTCTGCAGTGCTGTGGAACGTCAGGCACACCCTTCTAGTTGACCAGAAGAGGGATTTCATTACATCCCTTGATAATCACATCCTGGGTTTATTCACTCTTCTAATAACTCCATTACAATGTTTATAAGATGATGTGCTTTTAATTGTTTCCCTTATCCCGAAGATATAGAGTAGGTTTCTCTAATGGGCTTTGTAGCTTCCACTCTTTATTTTTATTGCTAATGGACTCTCCAGTAATATAAAATGACTGATGAGCGCTCTCAGAGAAAAGCAGAAAAATCAATACCTGTCCAGATTTCATATTAGTTAAAAGCAGGTGAGCAGCAGACAAACAAAAGGATTTCCTCTCAGATGAACTGTGAAGCTCTCTCTACAGGGGAGACTTCCTTGTAAATGCAGGATGTTGGAACAGGGAGTACAGATAGTTTGGTATTTCTTAGAAATCTCTGAGAATTGCGTCCAGTAGAGGGCAGTAGTACACGCATGCACTCAACCCGGCACTACCAAATTAGCGCTGCCTCTCCAGGGCTCTCTCCTCACCTTCCAATAGACCATGAGCCAGTGACTATGACCCAGTCCAGCGAGAAACACACCTCTATTCATAAGGGGCTGTTGCTAGCACAGTCTTAGCAGGCTTGCTAAGCATCGAATAGATATCATCTCATTTAGTCTTTTATAACAGTCTATGATACAAGTACTATTGTCACCTGTTACAGATACAGAAAGTGAAGTTTGCTAGCCTGAGCACACTGGGACAGTAGCTACTAGAGCTGAGTTTGGGACTGGTTCTGCTCTACAACCCTCTTCCTTAGCTGCCACACTCTCAGAGATTTACCTGTTCCATTCATGTGTACCACTCATTATCTTACCTTATGGATTTCTAGACAACAGAGACCCCAGGCCATTCATCCTTCTGTCCATCCACAGCTAAAATAGGACTTTGCATATGATATGTGCTCAAGAAATAATTAAGTTTGACAAATTCTTTGTCCCAAAGTGCTTTATTGTATCTTTAGGGGATGTTGTGGAATGGGTTTGATATGCTCTTCACTTTGTCTTCATTTGCAATTTAAGACAAGTCAGTAGAATGACAAGATGAACCTGCTGAAGATATGGGTAATTGAGAAGTGAACCCGAACAAACACCTAAATGGATGCAATATTTAGGATATATATGTGGGGGAGTGGGGAGAATGAATGCCAAGGGGAAGAGTCTCAAATGATGTTCTATGCCTGCTTCTCTTTCCCACTCTGCTACTCTCAGATTTCTTCTAACCTTTCATTAAAGTTCAAATTATTTATAACACTTCAATCATTGTGTCTAGAAGTTTCTGCCAGTTGCCATGTCCAGGGCAGGATGGGCTTGACTGGGGTTTTGCAGCCACACAGACCTTTCAAGAAGTTTCCAGCCAACTGCTCCTCTCTTGCTATCTGTCAGGGTCTACCCCACTCACCCATCCTGGTCTTCTTTACTTGGAGAGACAACGACATTGAGTCCTGCCTATCTGTACTTTATTACCCTTGATGGGACTATATACATGTTTACATTTCAGTGTGTCTACATGTCATATCTGTTACCATCTCTATTACTAGCAGGGCTTTTATAACAAT